TATAGAGAGAGAGAGAGAGAGAGAGAGAGAGAGAGAGAGAGAAGAAAATGTATTATTCCTTAAAAAAAATCATAATTTTAATTATTACTATTATTACTTCGAGAGGTAAATTCTACTGTACAATAGAAATAGCCTATATTTTAGTAATAATTTCTTCAAGTTAACATGAGTTGTCATTAAGAACTTTGAGTTTCTTTGTATCTGACAATAGTTTTTATCAAATTAAATGTTGAAATGCTAGTGAAGTGACTTTCAGAGCAGCTTTTTTTTTTCTTTTTTTTTTTGTTAAGTAGACTTAAAATTACAAGGGAAAAGATTCTAAACATGTACTGTATAGTATGACCTCATCAAAATGTCATTCTGGAGACATAAATACTGTATACTGTAAGCCTGCTGATTCTTTCTTTCACAGACTTGATCTACGTGGTGTGGCTGTTCTTTGTGACCCTCGCGTGGAACTGGAATGCTTGGCTGATCCCTGTGCGCTGCACTTTCCCGTACCAGACGTCTGAGAACATTCACTGGTGGCTGCTGATGGACTACTTCTGTGACGGCATTTATATTCTCGACATCTTCGTTATGCAGCCCAGACTGCAGTTTGTGAGAGGAGGGGACGTTGTGGTGAGCGAAAGCACCTGCTGTGATGAACATAATGTCAATTAACTTCTGACAACCAGAAAGTTTAGCAACACTTCTGGTTGTAGTTTTGAGCAGTATATCTACTATGTTAGTGGTTCAAGCATCACTCATTTCTTTTTGTGAAATGTTTTGCTTGAAACTGTGGAAGCCTGTTTCCTCCATAGAATAAAAAAAAAAAGTAATTGTTGTGGCATTTTATCTTACAATTCAGACTTTTTTTCTCGCAGTTCTGAGTTTGTCTCACAATTCTTAGAAAAAAGTCAAATGGCAAGATAGAAACTCAGAATTGTGAGATAGAAACTCAGAACTGCGAGATATAAAATCGCAATTCTAGAAAGAAAAGATATAAACTCACAATTGCACAGAACTGAGAAAAAAAAGCTGCAACCTTTTTTATTTATTTATTCCTTGGCAGAAACAAAAAACAGAATTGCGAGATGTAAACTCAAAATTCTGAGGGAAAATGTCAGAAATGTGAGATAGAAACGAGTTTATATTTCACAATGTGTCTTTTTTTCTAAGAATTGAGACAAACTCAGAATTGCAAGCATTTTTTTTTCTCAGAATCGGAAATTGTGAGTTGTGAAATAAAAAGTCATCAGAATTATTTTTTTATTATTTGTATTAAGCAGGCTTCCATACTGTCATTCTTTAAAATGAATGTCACTAGATTGAAGTTTTGTTGCAATATAACGCAATTCCATTCATACATTTGTAAGTACCCTTACCAAAAAGTAGTATACTTCAAGTTTATTTTAGTAAGTATACTTAGGTTCAAGTATATTTTTAAGTATACTTTATGTAGTAAGTATACAAATATCAGTGTACTAGTAGTATACTTGTAAGTGTACTATTTCAATACTCCTTGGGACTAAATTGGCCCACTTTCTAGTATATAAAAGTATACTTTAAGTATAACAGTAGTAAACTTTGAGTACACAACTAGATTACATATATGTTTTTAGTTTGTACTGCAACTATACTAAAAGTGAACTTAAAGGTATACTGATAGTTTACTAATTAAATAATTGTAGCGTTTTTAGTACACTTTGAAGTATAGTCTCAGTAAACTACTAGTTTAGTAGTTTTATACTACAAGTATACTCGTAAGTTTTCTTTAAGTGAACTTTACATCATACTTTAAGTATACTACTATGTCCCTATTTAGGTATTAATTTGTATATATTTTGTTACATGAATATCTGAACATACAAAACATCAAAAGAACAGGGTATCTGCTTGTAAACAAAAACATTTTATTCTAGCTTCATGCATTCTTTTTTAAACACTTGAATGTGGGATAAGTTTCATAAATAAAAAAGAAAGAAATAAACAACATTTTGAACAAAAAGCTGAAAAAAGACTATGAATTGGATTCAGAATGATAATCAAAACGTAGATAAAGTCAGTCAACACCCCAAAGCTTGACAGTTATTATTACCTCTTCATTGGTCGACATTTTATTCCATAACGTTACACAGTTTTGATACTGTTTTATGTCTGATGATCGTGTTAGAATACATGTGGAAGCATCTGTTGTTTCGGTTTCTTCTCACTTGTGTTTTTTTGGAACTTCTGTACAGAAGATGTGTACTAGGGCCCCCTACAGTATAACAATGAAAACACAGATTCTAGGAGCACAAGTATAGATCAAATATATTTAGACTTTTTCTATGTATAAGTCAAGTATACTTAAATGTCATTTTAAGTATATTTCTGAGAAGTACATACAAAGTAGACTAAAAGTATACTTTCCTATTTTTTGTTTAAAAGAAGTATACTAATAGCACACTTGAATAAACTTCTTTTTTGTAAGGGTATCTGGATATTTTTTTGAGGTTTGTTTTGTTTTGTTGACGTCTATTGATGTATTTTATATTTTGTCTGGCTCAGTGTGACAAAATAGCAATGAGAGACAACTACAGGCAAACAGAGCGATTCAAGGTAAAACATTCTACTAAATCATGCATTGACACTGAACAAATAACTTCAGTCAGTTAGTGAAACAGTTTCAGAACCTTCCATTGGGGTTGGATGTTTCAGATGGATGTGATCAGTCTCTTTCCACTGGATTTCCTGTACGTCTTCACAGGCGTCAAATCTCTCTTGCGGTTTCCTCGCCTTCTAAAGGTAAAAAAAACCAGCAACCCTAACCTCTTCCTATTTTCACACACATATCCTTAATACTCACACTTATTCTGTTCTTCTTTTGCAGTACAATGCATTCTTTGAGTTTAATGATCGTCTGGAAGCTGTGATGAGCAAAGCCTACATTTACAGGTAAGACCAGATGCCACCACTAAAGGTCACTATAACACAAAGCAGGTACATCTTAAAGGGACAGTTCACCCTAAAATGAAACTCATTGCAGGGTGATCCGGACGAGTGCGTACCTGCTGTACTCTCTGCACTGTAATGCCTGTATTTTCTATTGGGGTTCTGACTATGAAGGACTGGGTTCTACCAAATGGGTCTATAATGGCAAAGGAAACAGGTGAGCTTATCAGTCTCAGTCTGTTTCTCAATGGTGTATTGTGCACAGTGTAGATAATGTAATAAATCTGTGTTTGTGGCATACAGTTATATTCGCTGCTACTACTTTGCTGTGAAGACTCTGATCACCATCGGAGGTTTGCCTGACCCCACCACTGTCTTTGAAATCGTCTTCCAAATGCTCAACTACTTCGTGGGAGTCTTTGCTTTCTCCATCATGATTGGTCAGGTGGGAGTCATACGAGATACGAGAAATTCTGGGTGAATCTCATTTATTGTCAAAAACATGTCATGGTCATATTTTACCCTCAAAATCAAAAGAAAGAGCTAAGAAATTGCATTCTGCATAAAGAAAATAAGACTTATTTAGCATCACAAAGTATTGTTATTTTCATTATAATTTCCCCAGTTTTCAAAAATAAGACCTCATTACTGTAATATGAAAAACTGATACATTTTTGAAATATAAATACTTGAAAAATGTATCAATAATGAGATATTTGAGAATTGGGGGAATTGTATGAAAATAAAGAAAATGTATGTTTTATTGTACTTTATTAACTTGTGCAGATTTTTTTTTTACAATTATAATATTACCTAACCAGTGTTAGTATAGGTAACTAAAACAAAAACCATAAAAACCTTGAAATAAAATCAACCTTAACTTATTTTATTTCAACATTTTTAACATTTCCAACATTTAGTTTAACTTGATGCACTAATAAAAAAATAAAAAAATAAAAATAAAAACTATCTAGACATATTTAAATATATATATATATATATATATATATATATATAATGTCAAAAACAGACAATAAAACTAAGAAGTTCTAAAACTACTACTAAAATGAAAATAATAACAGAAAATATAAAAATAAAAAATGTAAAATATCAACAAAAAGTATAAAATGATACTAAAATCACACTGTATCTAATGAGAAGCACTAATCACTAATGAGATAAAAATCACTAATCACTAATGAGATTTTCAATTTCTAATGAATAGAAAAAAATTATTTTGGTTAATTAGAAAAAAGATTTTGGTTAATTAGACTTGTAGGAGGAATAGAATGTAATGAAACATAAAAATGTAATAAAATTTAAAAATATCATAACATAAAAATATTTAAAAAAAAATAACAAAAAATTAAAATATTTGTCTTCGTGCAATTTATAATTTCTTATTTTTGTCTTGTTTTTGATCTGAAATATGCCTCGGCCATTCGTGAAATTTACCTTCTAGTTTAATATGGCTGTTTTTCCATATTATCAAAAGAAAACTCAAAGACATGTTTGTATGCCACTTTAAAACAGTGTGTGTGTGTGTGTGTGTGTGTGTGTGTGTGTGCGTGTGTGTGTGTGTGTACACATAGATGAGAGATGTATTTGGAGCCGCCACTGCAGGTGAGGCCTATTATAGACACTGTGTGGACAGCACTGTCAAATACATGAGTTCCTACAAGATCCCCCGCGAGGTCCAGAACCGCGTCAAGATCTGGTACGATTACACCTGGAAGTCGCAAGGCATGCTGGGTAAGCAGATTTCCATTGCATTAGATGTTTGCATATGATAAGTGTCTTTGAACTGTTTCGTGATCCGTCTGTCATCAGATGAACAGGAGTTACTTATGCAGCTGCCAGATAAGATGCGTCTGGACATCGCTGCAGATGTCAACTACAGCATTGTCAGTAAAGTGGCGCTTTTTCAGGTGAGTGTCTTCTTTTTCTTTCATGAACACACACACAGAATGACATGGTCTGAATGACAAAGTCAAACTACTACTGCAAAAGCAGACCATTCCAGTTTAAGGCTGGTTTGTTGCTGGTCCAAAGCAGTCTTGCTCCAGACCAAGATGATCAGTACTAGGCTGAACCATGGTTGTTCAGCTGATTTAAGTTCAGATGACCAATAACCAGCTTGGACCAAAAACAAATGTACCAGACATAAATTCTACTTGAAATCAAATTGATCCTATTTCTAGGGGTGTAAATCACAACAGACGTTTCATCACAAAACAGTATTATCTGACACCAATTCTCTTAGCCAGTGATACAGTACTTTAAAACATGCTGTGATACAATTATGATTTGATTAGATTTCAGGGACCTAAAATCAATATTACAATATTATGTGCCTATTTTACACAACCAATTACATTTTGATTAAATAAAAAATGCAACAAAAATAACATGAACATATAAATAATCTCTCTGAAAACTCCAAAAAAAAATAAAAATTTTAATAATATAGAAAAAAATAGAAAAAAAGGGAAAAAAAACTTAAATCTGAAAAATATGTATTGATTTTTTACGTGTTACATTGATACATCATAGCGTTAGTCATTTGATCGATGCATCGATCCATGTGAAAAAAAATACTTTCTACCAACTTAAAAAAATACTCAAATTTATTGTTTTTTCTCAAATTATGTATATAGTTTGGTTCAAACCTTACATTGATTTAATATTCATACAAAGTAAAAAAAAATAAAAATATTTTAAAGACCATGTGCTGAAAAGTGTGGGGAAAAAAATATGTTTACATGATTTAATCCAAATGAATCATGATTTAATTGCACATGAATCAGTTGAATAATACAAACGTAATTTGTTTAGGTAACTGGTAACACAGTTTAATTGAAACGGTTCTAAATCCCAACATAATTAAACATTAAACACTATCAAGTCTCCCCCTTTTCTCATCTTGCTAAAAAAACACACAAAAATACTTCATTTTAACATTTTTACTCTCCTCATTAAGTCCCATGCAAATCCTTTTCAACAAATAATATGATTGAGTAAAATGTACAATCTGTGTTCTTCCATTGTTTCAGTGTAAAAAATGTTATCTTTGTAATTTTTCATCAAAATCTAATAACTTTCCTGACATGGCCAAGCGCAGTTATTTTTTAATTCCTCCTGTCATATAGAAAACACTTTTCACCATCCAATCAGTTCCCAATGGATTAACTCATTTAGTTTCTCTTTGAATATCCCGTTTCATCTGTTTAAAATGACACATTATGACACTATAACAAGTTGCAAAAGCTGTTGAAAAGTCTTTGTCTCTTGTTCGTTCCAGGGATGTGACAGACAGATGATATTTGACATGCTCAAGAGGCTGAAATCCGTGGTGTACCTTCCGGGAGACTTTGTTTGTAAAAAAGTGAGCAATATGTCATTTACTATTTTTGTGATTTACTGTACGTGCTTTGCTGCTGCCTTGCAAAAATATTGTAAAACCTACAATAGATTATCTCAGTATATGTCCAGTATATTTGAAGGTTGTCTTAGTAAAGGTCACACCATGAAAGAGGCTTTTATCTGTTTGCGGTTTGAATTGACTCTTGTCCCGCTCGGCTCTGCCGGTCAGGGTGAGATCGGCCGAGAGATGTACATCATCAAAGCTGGAGAGGTGCAGGTGGTTGGAGGACCTGATGGGATGACGGTGTTTGTGACTCTGAGAGCTGGCTCTGTGTTTGGGGAAATTAGGTGAGTGATAATTATTGAAGACACAACTTTCATACCTCGTGTACTGATGAGGACAGCTAGATAAAATCATATGTGATCTAATAGGAAAAGTACTGCTTTAATATATTATTTTTGTAGTATGCAATTTGTATACTGTATTTTTCTATATATATATATATATATATATAGCATTAGTACATTTGCCTAAATATACTGTATCCCACAATGCAATGCACTCAACTTGACCTTTCATGTTAAAGGGATGGTTCACCTAAAAATGTAATTTTTGTAAACATTTACTCACCCTCATGTTGTTCCTGCATAACTGTATAAGCCTGTATAAGTTTCTTTCCTCTTCGGGACATAAGAGATATTTTGAAGAATGTTGGTAACCAAACAATTTTGGTGACCATTGAGATATTTCATATCTTCTTTTATGTTCCAATGAAGAAAGAAAAGCCATACAGGTAGGTATACATGATGACCATTTTTAGGTGAACTACACCTTTAACAGTGATAAAGGAAGCATTATCAATTGCCGTTTTCTTGAAGAAAAAATTTAGTTTTCGACTTTTGAATAGAATGCTAAGACATTTTTGTTTCCATCCATGTATTTTTATGTGAATTTTGGGATATCACATAAACTCTGATTATCATTCACATAAAAATCTTAATGCACTCAAAATCTTAAAATGCGCATAAAAAATGTATGTGCTTAGTTGAGGAAGAAGACATGTGAAAAAATGCTGGAAACACATTTACCAAATAAATTCCTTCATGTGTAACAAAAAAACTCATGTGACTTTGCCTCAACAGATCATGTGACTGGATAACTGAACTAACCAGCACACTGATCTCATCACACACCATCAAATGTTATTTGAATAATTTTGAAATGTATGAGCCAAAGTCAAAATGAGTTGGTATAATCAGCTCTCACATGCTTGCGTTCCCAAACAACAGGCATCCGAACGCAAGATAACATGACAGCGTTTGGCGGAATTCATTTATTATGTAGGAAATTACAGCCACAGGCTTCCCCAGTTGCAGCAACTTTAATATTTATTATTGACATTTTCCACCAGTTTCCCAGAAAGTGACGATTTTGTGCTTTTGAACACATGGAACGGAAACAGTGCTTCATTCGCAAATGTTTAATGCGATATCTGCAACTTTAGATGCAAAAATAGCTAGTGTGAGAAAGATAAATCATGCTTTATGTGTGAAGAGCCAAACTCTGACTGTTTTTGTGTGTGTGTTCACTCCATCAGTTTGCTGGCGGGTGGTGGTGGGAACCGACGAACAGCTAACGTAAAGGCCCATGGTTTTGCTAACCTCTTCATCCTGGATAAGAAGGACCTGGCAGAGATCTTAGTGCACTACCCCGAGTCCCAGAAGCTACTGCGCAAGAAGGCCAAGTGAGAGGGATCGGAGCTCGAACCTCAACCAAGAGCCCCAACAGTCCTTACACACATACACACACACACTTCATCCAGCCCAGTGGTCTGAGCCATTTACAGCTCTGTATCACACTCACAGATCTCTATAGATTAGCTATGTTTTCTGTCTTTCTGCTGTTTCTGTTTTTCTCTCTACATCCTTCTTTTCCCTTTCTTTGACATGACATGAGTCGCATGATGCATTCACCCATGAGGCCAATTTACTGTGTGTCCGTGTGTGTGTGTGTGTGTGTGTGTGTGTGTGTGTGTGTGTGTGTGTGTGTGTGTGTGTGTGTGTGGGGTGAATGATATCGTGTAAGTGCTTGAGATCGTGTCATCTGATGTCATCTCAAACCTTATGGAGATCCGCTTCCTGTTAGAGTCTCAGCGATGCACATGCTAGCTTACAGCTCAACTTCCTGTCATCCTAATGAGTTTGTCTTCTTCCATAGGAAAATGTTGACCAAAGATAAGAAGCCTGCAGATGAGAAGGGCCAGGCTAAAGAGACGGGTGAGGTCATCCCTCAGCGGCCGGAGACGCACAAACTATACAAGGCTGCACTGGAGGTTGGCACGGGACAGACTTTTGCCAAGCTGAAGGAGACATATAAGGGAGCAACTCTAGAGGTATTCACATCCCCTGTGTTATGATGCTTTTGGCCAAAAACATATTCTGAAGACAGACATTAAAACAGATTGTGATAAACAGATTGTTAATAACTGAAAATCTTGCCCTCCACTGTAAGATATGGTGCCTTTAGATGCATTGTAATAAATCAACGACATCAAACATCATTGGTCCTCACGTGTCTTGAGACCAAACAGCATTTACATCAAACTTTAAGTGATGCATCTAACCATATTTTACGTTTATGTATTTGGCATATTTGGCATTTGATTGATTTTCAGTTAATAACTTAAAAAGATAGTTCACCCCAAAATGAAACGCCAGCTCCTTGTGAACGTGCGTCAAAGACTTAAGACAGAAGAGAAGAAATTGTTGAATAAAGTCGTTATTTTTGTTTTCTTTGCACACCAAAAGTATTATCGTAGCTTCATAAAATTACGGTTGAACCACTGATGTCACATGACGTTAACGATGTCCTTCCTACCTTTCTGGGCCTTGACCGTGGTAGTTGCGTTGCTGTCTATGGAGGGTCAGAAAGCTCTCGCATCAAAAATATCTTAATTTGTGTTCCGAAGTCAACTTAAATGTCAACTTAAGACTTGAATATATGATCGGGGTGTGTTGTTATTAAGGTTTGTCAAAGGTTTAACTAACTTTTGCTGATTTAACTATGGTTAGCAACATCCTCTTCAAACATTTGCTTCACCTTGACAGTAACTGGCTTGAAAAAGAGAAAATTGACCATAGAAGGTGACCAAATTAGTTCAGTAGTCAAAATATCATTATGATAAACATCATATCGTCATCTTGCTTGTTATTATATGTGAATTAAAAATGGGGACAATACATTTTTGTTTTTTAATTGTTTTGGGTTCCATATACTATTATTATAATTAATAATTATTATTATGTTTGCAGGTCAAACTGACCCTAAATGGTTTTAATACAGTTCACCAAAAATCACACTATGAAAAATAGCAAATAGGAACCATTGCAAATGGCAAACAGATCAAAACAATATTATTTTACAACAAAGTTATGACTTTACAAATAGACAAAATAAATATGAAAAAATAAGTAATAGACAATATGATAAAAATGTTTTAACAATTATTTTAAACCTTTTTCAATTGTATTTATTGTATGTATCTTTCCATTTTCACAAACTGTTAATATACTGTCTACAGTAATTTTTGAAATGTTATTATATGTTTGTGCTTTTGGAAATGGATCTTTGCTTATCCCTAATTAGATTTTTTTAATATATATTTTAGGCTCATTTTGAGTACAAAGTATGTGCTTTCTGCAAATGTAGTTGTTGCTTGTGTTGTTTAGTTTAGATGTGTGTGGAAATTACTGCGTTGTGACACCAGAACATTCAGGAACTTTTAAAACTGTGTGACAAACAGTCCCACACCCTGTTATATAGTACATACAAACAGTATCACTTTAACATGAATAGTTAGTATGTGACTACCTTGAAACTGATAACAGAGTCTCTTTTGATAATTGATGATAACAGTGCTCTGTTCTTGTGCAGGGAAAGTTCTTCATGTCTAAAGTAGCACGGTTTGTTGATATGTGACCAGTCAGGCCCCTTACTTATTTTGTCTGTCCTGTCTGTCTCTTTCTCTCTCAGCCATCCACTCCCGCATCCGGCAGGACCTCCACAGCTCCAGTGCCTCCTCCCTCACCCATGCACCGCCGTTCACCCATTCCCCGGCCTCACGTCCCAGATGAAGATGACATGGTATCAGAGACCACCGACAGCACCATGATCATCCGCATGACTCCCCGCGTTGAGGGAGAGGAGATCCTATCTGTGGAAATCAGTCCTGGAGAGGGAGTGGAGGCGGAGGCGGAAGATCCAAGCAAAACTACTGACAAGTGAGAGAGAGGAAGAGGGCAAGGACAAAGACCAGAGTAGGGATAGGGTAGAAAGCCTAAAGAAAAGCCCAATGCATACATCCCTCGTCATGCTTTCTGTATTAGCGTGTTGATGAAAGTCCTACACATGCTTTTCAACCAGGTCAAGCCAAACAGGTTTTCAAGACTCTTGTAAAAACTCTTTGGAGACTCTCTAGGCAGCTTTTCGAAAAGGAAAGTTCCCTGAGGAACCAATATTGTAAGTTCCTGCAAGAAATCTATGCTTCCAGTATTCTTCTAGTAAACTCATCATAAGGTTTTGAGGCATTTGAAACATATAATGAAGATGATACACAATATCTGTAGTACTTTCACTTGCCTAGAGGTTCTCAAGAGGTTAAAAGTATTCAATTTTTTATGCTTAGCGTTCACACTTTCATTTTTAATACAGTTTAGATGTCTTTGGTCCGTGTTACGCTCATATTTCAGTTGAACCGCACCAGAGTTTGTCTGGAAGTGGACCGAGACCTACCTTTTCATGGTAGGTTCATCATCCACTTGTTTGGTGCGCCCCAAGGTTTAAATGTCAGTGTTCACACTTATTCAAATAAACTGCACTAACAGAGCAATTGCACCAGATTTCCTTTTAACCGTCCCAAACCTGCCAAGTGTAAACACGGTCTAAATATTATTATTTGAAGGTGAAGTGAGCTTCTGAGCGGTATTCCAGAAAGAAGAGTTAACTCACTTTCATATAAATCCCAAATCCCGTAACGCGTCTGGGAGTAAGTTCAGTCGAGTATGTTCATGGTGAACACACATAGACATTCTCAACAGGAGTCAGCATGGAAACGGACGCCAAGAAGAAGTGCACCATACTTCTTTTGATTAATGGCAATTTATATTTTTAGTAGTGCTGTCAAACGATTAATCGTGATTAATCGCATCCAAAATAAAAGTTTTTGTTTACGTAATATATATGTGTGTGTGTACTGTGTATATTTATTATGTATATATAAATACACACACATTCACGTATATATTTAAGAGAAATGTGTTATGTTTACATATTTTTATATAATATAAATTATATGAATATAAATATATACATGTAAATACAGGTAAATATTTACTAAATATATTCTGTATATGTGTGTATTTATATATACATAATAAATATACACAGTACACACACATATATTATGTAAACAAAAACTTTTATTTTGGCTGCGATTAATCGCGATTAATCGTTTGGCAGCACTAATTTTTAGGGCATATCACCTCCTATATTGCCTAACCTATGGGAGGTTTTGGAATCATCTCATGTTTTAATCTTTAATCAGCTTTTTATTACTGAGAAGAATTATTCAAGAATTATATTGTTTGTTTTATACTACATTTGTAAATTGACTCAACTAAAAATAATCAGTGCTTGCAAAAAAAAAGTGGCTATGTGAGTTTATTTTACTTCCACATTTTTGTAAGTACATTATATAGAAAATGTCCTGTTAACAAAAGCTAAAATAAAATCAACATTGCTTTATGTTATAATATTGCTTTACAATTAAAAAATTTATGACTATAAACTCCCATTGAACCCTCAGTAATAAGGAATGTATGCTCTGAATGTTTAGAGAATGCTACTTACATACCGTGGAAGTTACTTCAGTTTTTGGAACTGAAAGTTGAAGTTATCTGTTTACTTATCAATAAACTTACCCAAGTATGTGGCATAACCTGCTTTCTGGAATACCCCCCTGAGCCACAACATTTCCTCAACTCTCCGCAAACTGCCATTGGCCAGATAAACGGCTAGCCCCGCCTCAAACTCACACCATTGGTTAGGCCAGTGTTGCTGAGAGTGTAATGTTCTAATAGCTCCACAGTGTTTACATCTTTCAGTGGAATCAACCTGTTGGCTCACCTATAGTTTTCACTGTATGTTATGCTGGGATAAGTAACATTGAAGAATGACACACATCACCTTTAACTTCCCTTTAAGACTTTTGATAGATGTTTAGGACTGAAGGGCCATTAGGGTCAGCAGAACTCTCTGTGTAATGAAAAGTAATTTTGAGTATTTTCCACAGCACACGCTGCTCTAATTCCACGACTGCCTGCTGCTCTGCGTCTTATTCCAACATCCTGTCTGTTATTGCACTCTGTGCACACGCTCTTGTACACACATTTACACACACAAGCATGTTACAACGACCTTGTACAGTTATTTCTTTTCAGATTATATGTTAAAGGGACAGTACACCCAAAAAATGAAAATTGTGTGGTTCCAAACCTGTTTGACTTTCTTTATTCTGTGGAACATTAATGTAGTTTAAAATATTAAACTTTAAGAACATTACGATATTTTGAGAAATGACTGTTGTTAATTTATGTATTTATTGTCTATATGGAAGTCAATGGTCACCAAAACTGCAGAATATTCATTTTTTGTGTGAACTTTCCCTGTCTAGTTGCATTAAATATACTTTAACATTGTGTAAGCTGTGATGTTATAAAGTAATGTTGTGTTGCAATACCATGTGAAGGCAATTTTCATGCTTTATTGAATATAACTGTTATTTCTTTTATAAGTAGTCTAGAAAGCTAGACCAAATTTGTTATAATCTCTTTCAAAAGACTTGTGAAAGTCACATGGTGAAAATACCCCGCTGATATTTCCATGTGCTTTGATATGTACTACGAGTACTAATCAATTGTGAATGATTTTTCAGTATTTCCAGGTCAGTTCGTGCTGAACTCCTAGTGTGAGCAGGCGCTAAGGAATCTATAAATGGAAACTTACTGCATACTTTCAATTTGTATTTGTTGAGAATCATTCATTCATGTCTCAGACAGTGCTCATTTCTTCATAAGGGGTTAGAAGAAGAATGGGCAGGAATTAGGTTGATTGCATGTAATAGCTGTTCTATTTTTGTATACAAAAATGCAAGCATGATTGCCTGAGCCCTGTGAAGGGGCCCACTAACTACTCTTACAGTATAGCTTACTTTTTGGTCCCAGGGGACGAGGCCTACCCATGAAGATTTCGTCCCAGGTGCTGTGAATTTAAACTACAGCCCTGGATGTATGTGGAAAAAAATCATAAAAAAGTGAAATCTTGTAAAACAGGTCTAAATGCTCCTGGAAATCATTTGTCCGAATAAGACACAGACTCAGACATACACACTGACAGGAAGAGCACGGGAAGAATGAGCATTTTTTCATTCTTCCTTTCTTGCTCCACAAGACCGGAGGCAGGAAATCTGTAAAGGCGGGAATGTGAGGGACAATACTGGGTTTGCTAACGGACTGCTGAACAAGTCTACACGTTACATGCAGGGGCTGTTAAGACAGTTCACCTAAAAATGAAAATGTCATCATTTACTCACCCTCTTTTTTCTGTTGAAGTTAATAGGGTCCAGTGTTGTTTTAGTGTTGTTTCATTGTATGGACCAAATTTGAAACATTCTTTAATGTATTCTGCAGAAAAAGAGAGTCAAACAGGTTTGAAACAACATGAGGGTCAGTAAAGGATGACAGAATTTTCTTTGTCATGCAAACTATTTCTTTAAGATGTTTCTGTTTGTGTGTCAGCTAGTGAATTCAATGAGCTGTAAAGTTATATAAGCTGTTTATCTTGCAGCTTAAACTAATTTCTGCCATAAATCTGGTATGACGATTATGATTAATGAAGGTTTTCCCTAATGGATTAGTGATATAATGAGTCATGCTGTCTGAAAACGTGGCTAATACCAAAGATTTGGTTATTGAAACGTTTCTATAATTCTTGGGTGTAAAACTGAGCTTAATCTCTCATTGTTAATGATTTTTAATGGTTTACAGTTCAGTTTAAACACCTGGGAACACACTTTAAAGTTGTGTAGCCTCTTGTGAAAATGAAAAGAACTATATCAGAAAGATAACATTGCTTTTATAGTACAATGAATAAGTAGTATACATGTTTATTTATGTGCTGTACAATGGTCCAAAAGTCAGAGACCACTAGTGAAAAATTATTCTATTTATTATATAATAGCTTTTTTTATTGCAAATGACCAAGTTTGAAAATAATTATTAGTGTTTAGAATGGGCTTCTTTATATATATATATATATATAAGATACGCTGTTTTAGTTCAAATCAAATCACAACAACGTAGGAAACAGATCCGGCGTGACGCAGCTGACACAGAACAGCATAGGCTACGTTGTTTATGTCCAGCTGATACTCTCCAAAATGGCGCAACAGGGTGATGCAGAGGAGACGAATTGTTGAATAAAGTCGTTCTTTTTTTTCTTTTCCGCACAACAAGTATTCTCGTAGCTTCATAAAATTACGGTTGAACCCCTGATGTCACATGGATTATTTTACAGATCTCCTTGCTACGTCTCTGGACTTGGGAACATTTCAGTTGCGTTGCTGTCTATGCAGGGTCAGAAAGCTCTCAGATTCCATCAAAAATATCTTAATCTGTGTTCCGAAGATGAACGAAGATCTTACCAGTTTGAAACGACACGAGGGTGAATAATTAATGACAGAATTTTCATTTTTGGGTGAACTATCCCTTTAAAGCAGCTTGGACGTAAAAGCACAAGTTGTAGGCCTACTCTAAAACAAAAAGGTGTCAAACAACATGCCTCTTTAAAATGTATCCGCAAACATGTTGTGTAAAATGCTTTTGACCACATTTTTACTGGTAGCATCTAGATTAAAGACATTTATCCTATCTATAAAGAAAGTTCTTGTAGTGTGTATTATTACACGTCTTCTTAACATCTCAGGAGGGCTGACTGAGAGAGTTTGAGTTAATGAGGGCTGAGAGGTGGCCTGTAGTCTAATAGGATGGGAAACGCGTTCATTTTTCCTTTGCATGAACAGGAGGAGCGTTTGCGTCACTGCAGTCAGCTGTGCGCGCGTCTCACGCGTGTTTATCTCCACGAGAGACGACAAAACGCTACACTCCTCCAGCTGTGAGATAAAACACTGCTTTTCAACGGGCGGATAGAACGAAGAAGAGTGGAATAAAACTAGAAGGAAACAGCGGAGGAAGGCTGGCCTGAGACGTAAGCACATTCTTTCACTTATATATCGCACATGCGTTATACTTTACACTTAGGAGCTATATTAACCCTCTATATAGCGAATCCACTTTATAAAATACAAGTGCAAGACACGTGCAGTTAGAGGCAGTCCTTTAAACTCGTAAATATAAGAACATCCTGAAACATAAACTAAACATCCTGTTTCTCTTTTTAAAATTAAAATATCTGCTTGCGTTTTCTCGAAGCAGAGGCGGTGAATGACTTGAAAGAAGTCGGCTGTGTTTTCTTTAGTCTAAACCGTTATTATTATTCCTCTATTCGTGCTTAAATCTTAAAATATAAGCTCAACTATGTTTTCATCGAGTGAATGTTTAAGTGGTAAATCACGGTTTGTACAGCAGTATTTTGGGTGTATCAAAGTCCGGGTGTGCCCGGTGCATATCCAGCGGATGTTCAGTGAACTAGTCATCATGTCAGTCTGAACAAGTCATATCAGTTGAGTTTGTTTAGACTGGCCGTGGGACACTTCTAGTGCTTCACTTGTTTGGTCAGATAGTGGCTGAAGTTGTTGATTGAACGTCATCCAGTGTGAATGCTGATCTGATGAATCTTTGACAAGATGACAGTGCTGTTTGTAACATCTCTGGGACAGTTCACCCCCCCAAAAAATCATTTTATCATTTACATAACGTCATGTTGTTACAACTTTCTTTCTGTCTAAAGTTTCTTCTGAAGCCATATGATAGATTTGTTTGAGAAACAGACCGAAATTTAAGTTATTCACATTTCAGTCATAATCTTGATCCCAACTGTAACTCTTTATGGAGGGTTCATGAGAGAAGGTTCAATATGCAGTTCTTGAACGAAGATTCGCTTGAGTCAGATCAATCAATTGGGTGATTT